TGCTGAGGGAGCCCCCAGCCCTCCCCAAAGCAGTCTCTGGGCGGGCAGCCTCTCTCCTCCTCCCCTGTGCAGTCGGGGAGACAAGGCCGATTTCTACAGGCTCTTTTCTACCTTATGCTGCATGTCCTAATGAAGAGGAGGAGGGTTTGGCAACAGATGGAGACTCTCAGAGCCTTGGAGCTGGGTTGAAGGATGACAATTCCCGACGTCCTTTCTCCTGCACAACTCTAAGTTAAATCAAACTTCAGAAGGGAAAAGGCCTATTCAGCAATTTGGCTAGTCTAGGGCTGGCTCTGAGGGCCCGGAGGACATACCTCACACCCTCTGAATTCCCTGATTTCCTCTCCCCCACGCCCAACAGGGAGGAAGCTTTCTGTTTTCTCTCCACAATGTTGGAAGCGCACTGTTCAATAAGACCTGTTCCCATCAGGCAGATGATGCTAATGGTTGTCGGATAAGCAGTGAAATTCACAAACAGGGATCTGGGGTTTCCGGTGGGGCTCCTGTGCCCATCACAGAGCCCTGGGATGGGCAGACACCCAGAATTGTTGCCTGCGTGGGCATGCTGTTTCCACCAAGATGACCTTCAGCAGGTGTGAGGACCAAGTGAGGCCTAGACTGTGATGACTCAGAGACTCCGGGGTTTTGCAGGGGGAAAGCAGAGGATGCAGCTCTTGTTTTTTCCTGGAGACAGTTCCCAGAGGTCTAGGGGTCCCTGCAGGGCCCTGGCGGGGTGACTCTGTTATAACCCCCCAGGAAAACCATTCTGATTCCATGTGGGTCTTATGGCACGTCCCTGTGCCAGCCTGGAAGTCTCGTTCTTGTGCAGAGGGAGGCATGGGTGGACACTGATTTAGTAGGACTTCAGATGTGATTTCAAGATGAGAAGTGAGGGATGCCTTGGGGGGATGTGAACATGGCGTTCCTGTCCCACAATGCTGTGTGCTGGCAGGGCAGGACCACACCCCCTCCCCGGCCCCTGTCTCCTGGTCGACACTCAGTGTTGAGTGTGGAGCTTCATAGAGGGAACTGCTCGTGTGCCTGTGACAGTCTCAGCTGAGCGTGGACCCCCGGGGCTGCATGAGTGCCCCCTGCCCTCCAACTTTGAGTTCTCGGGGGACCACACTCCTGCGATGAAGATTCATCTTCTGAAGTGCTAGAGGACCAGATCTTGTGGCTTTGGGAGTCGCTTCTAAAAATTTTAGATGGAAAATTTAGTAGTGCTTCATGGGGAGAGATAGTACAGCAGGTAGGGCTTTTGCCTTGCATATGAATGATCAGGGTTTGATCGCCATATCCCGTGTGGTCTCCTGAGCCCTGCCAGGAGTAATCTCTGAGTGCAGAGAGCCAGGAGTAAGTCCTGAGCATCACTGGGTATGGCTCCAAGTCCCAAATAACTAAATAAGTGAAAGATCTTTTTTTTAGTTTTATACCACCTGGGGGAGAAAAGACCTCCAGAAGGTAAAGTGTTAGTGGGAAGCAGTCCCCACAGGCCATGGTCCCTTATGTCTTCAGAGGCATAGAGCTCGCGCTCAACCCAAAGGCATGCCCGTCAGTATGTCCCGGCGTTGTTCGACTGCAGGATTTGAGGGCATCTCTCATGACAGAGGACTTGCTCACAGGCTCTGATGCTGAATCCACATCAGTACTTTTTGAAATTATAAACAGAACTGAAGACAGAATCCTCTCTCAGTGTTTCTTAAAAGGTATCAGCAATTTAAAGTTTTGCAGAAATGAAAAAAGGACAAATACAAACCGGAAAGCAATGAAATTGAGGCTAAAATACATACTTCTTTCTGCCCTTCTTTTTCTTTTTAAATTTTCTTTTCTCCCCTTTCAGTTTTTCTCCTTCCCTCTTCCTTCCTTTCTACCTTTCTTTCTTTTTCTTTCTTTCTTCCTCTCCTTCCTTCTCTCCCTCCCTCCCTTCCTCCCTCCCTCCCTCCCTCCCTCCCTCCCTCCCTCCTTTCCTCCCTCCCTTCTTTCCTCCCTCCCTCCCTCTTTCTTTTCTTTTCTTTCTTTCTTTTCTTAACTTTAATTGAAACTTTTATTTTCAATGCCAGGGATTGAACTCCAGGCTTTATGCCTCTGCATTCAGGCCTTCCTTTACATGAAGTTAAAGACTTCTCTCTTCAGCCAATTCACCTCTCTCTTTTTATACAAATCCAGCACTCCCCAGAACCCACTGCATGATTGTTGCATAGTTGGACTAAGTTCTGTAAACCTTATCACTGAGCTATATTCCTAGTCCCCTCATGGCATTCCCCCCACAGTTACATATTGGACAAAGGATGCCCACATTTTCATTTTCCATGGGGCCTGTGAATTGAGTATCTCATTACATGTCAGAGAACATCATGCAGATCAGATTTGAGTTCTTACTCAGATTAGGGTCAAGCAGTTTGGAAGATGCACGCACTCTCTTCCAAGGGTGGGCATGCTTGCTTGCTTGCTTTCTTTCTTTCTTTCTTTCTTTCTTTCTTTCTTTCTTTCTTTCTTTCCTTCCTTCCTTCCTTCTTTCTTTCTCTCTCTCTTTCTTTTTTCCTTCCTTCCTTCCTTCCTTCCTTCCTTCCTTCCTTCCTTCCTTCCTTCCTTCTCTCTTTCTAATGCAAGGCAAGAGTTACCTTACCAACTCCAAACTTCTATTTTTTTTTTGCTTTTTGGGTCACACCCAGCGATGCTCAGAGGTTACTCCTGGCTCTGCACTCAGGAATTACTCCTGGCGGTGCTCGGGGGACCATATGGGATGCTGGGAATCGAACCTAGGTTGGCTGCATGCAAGGCAAATGCCCTACCCGCTGTGCTATTGCTCCAGCCCTTTCCAAATTTCTTAACAAATGACTTTTCTCTCTGAATTTCATGACTAAAATTTACTTTTATTTTCTGTTTGTTTGGGGCCACACTCGGTGATGCTTGAGTCTTAGTCCTGACTCTATGCTCAGGGGACCATATATGGTATCAGGGATTGAACCCAGGTCAACTGTGAGTAAGACTGTCACCCTGTACCTAGAAATTTAATCGGAAGCACTCAAGAAAGACAACTTCTTATAGAGCAGAGATCCCATTTGTCCTATGACTATTTTTTTTTCTTCAGAAAAAGATAACTCCACAGTGCCTTCCCATAATTGCTTCTGAGACCATCCCTGCAAGGAGCCATATCATCCACTTTGGGAAACTCTGATACCATGTGTTGAATTTATAAATGCATGAGCTAGGGAGCAGAGTGATAGTACAGTGGGAAGGGCACTTGCCTTGCATGTGGCTGACCTGGGTTTGATCCCCAGCATCCCAAATGGTCCCCTGAGGACCGCTTGGAGTGATTCCTGAGTACAGAGCAAGGAATAACTCCTGGGTGTGGCTCCAAACCAAAAAAAAAGTGGGGGAGGGGAAAGCATTGTGATCAACAGAGATGTTTGTTATATAAATGATTTTCCTGTGCGCAGATGACTCACTGGGAAACCCTCCAGTCAGAACCTTCCTCAGTGTTCTGGGCTGAGTCTGACTAGCTCTTCTCCTGGTTTCCACCTGAATAACAGCCTGTCTCTTCAGGGCATCTCTCTCTGCCTGTGCCCTGGAGGCCCGGCTGATAGGTTCATGCAAAACAATTTCATCTCTTCTTCCTTTCCTGGGTTTTCCTCTGCATCCACACTGAGTGATGCTGATGAACTGCACCTGGCTCTGTGTTTGGGGCTTGCTCCTGGGAGTGCTCAAGCCCAGGTAGGGATGGAACCAGGGTCTCCCCATGCAGAACCCTTGGAGTCACCTCCCCAGTCTGATATTTTCCTTTTTTTTTTTTTTGCTTTTTGGGTCACACCCGGCGATGCTCAGGGGTTACTCCTGGCTCATGCACTCAGGAATTACTCCTGGCGGTGCTCAGGGGACCATATGGGATGCTGGGAATCGAACCTGGATCGGCCATGTTGGCTGCGTGTAAGGCAAACGCCCTACCCGCTGTGCTATCGCTCCAGCCCCTGATATCTTCCTTCTTTTAAGCCAGTTTATTCTTGTGAGGGGTGCAGGAGACTGAAACATGGTTGGAGACTTCTTAATAACCACACCTCAGATCCATCCCCGACTCAAACCCAAGGCCAGGGCTGTTCCTTTTAATTTTTAAATTTTATTTTCATAAAGTTGTGCACCATAATGGATTACATCCAATATTTCAACACCAATCCTACCACTACCTTCCCACCACTTCGAAAATTATTTCGAATTTTCCCACCACCACTCAAGCCTGCCCCACAGGCAAATGCTAGATAATTTATTTTGTATTGCTTGTTCTAGCCTGAGATGTCGCGCAGCCGCTTTTGCTCCTGGAATTCTAAAATTTTTAATAATTGGGGTCCGGAGACATCTCTGAAGCGAGCTAATTGGTTCTGAGATGCATTTGTGAGTCTCTGAATCATGGCCATTAATGCGCTTAATGGCACCTGGAAGGGAGTTCATGGGCGTGACAGCCAGTACCCCGAGGGGAGGGGAGACGGGAAGGAGTGGCCTGTTCCCTGTCCCTTGAGGTCTGGAGTTTGCAGACACTGGTCCCATATACCTGGGTTTTTCAGTGTCCTGGAGGCTTGAGGCTGCTGGGATTCATTTTAGGGCAGGTGGAGGGATGACACCTGCTCCCGCCTGAGGCACCCAGTGAGATCAGCCTGGCGCAAGGTCCAGGGACTTCTCTGGACAAGCCGCTCAGTTCTGAGATTCGTATGTGAGTCTGAAGGCCCAGGCTTCTTACTTCTTATGGTTGGCCGCCCAGAAATAAATGGGGTTTCCAGACCACGCTGTCTGAGTCAGGGGGCTGGCTCTACCGGCTTCTGGGGGCTGGTGTGGGGGGCCACTTTCTCTTTCTGACATTTGCTTTCTTCTCTGTGACACAAAGCAATGAACTCAGTGGTTCCTAAAGAGATGACCCCCCGCCCCAGCTCTGAGTGCACCCACCGCCAGTTTCTTGTGCACCCACAGATGCCCTCGGCAGTCTGGTGAATACTCTTCCTTCTCTCACACAGGTTCCGAAAGCACCATGAGCTATTTTGCGGCCCCTGCTGTCAGTGGCCCTGCTCCTTATCCGGTGGCACGTCCCACAGTGGCGGTAAGTGGGGCCTTCCCTTTGTTCCTCCTCAGTTTTCACATCCTCCTAGATGTCCCCCCCACAGAGGAGCCGGGGACCCAGTCTGAAGGTGGAATCAGAGGGGGAGTTCTTTGGAGTCACTTGTGAGGTTGTCCATCTGCATTTGGATCAAGGAGAAAACTGAGATTGACAGATTTGCCAGGGAAATTTAAAAGTCTGTATGTCTGCATGAACCTTAGATAAAATAGACACTACGGTACTCAGGACTAAAGCACTAAGGATCGAAGTTTAGTACTAGGGTACTAGGGAACTAAGTATAAATATACTCCCGTTTTTCTTTTTTTTAGTGAGACACCATGAGGTACAGTTGTAGATTTACAAATTTTTGTGCTTGGGTTTCAATTATACAATGATCAAATACCCATCCCTCCACCAGTGCCCATTTCCCACCACCACGGATCCCAGTATCCCTCCCACCCCTCATCCCCCCATCCCACCCTGCCTCTGTGGCAGGGCATTCCCTTTTGTTCTCTCTCTCCTTTTGGGTGTTGTGGTTCGCAAAAGAGGCATTGAGTGGCAATCATGTTTGGTCTATAGTCTACCTTCAGCATGCTTCTCCCATCCTGGGAGGAGGATCCTCCCAACATCCTTTATTTGGTGCTCCTTTCTCTGTCTGAGCTCCCTTTTCCCCTAGCATGTGTGGCTGGCCTCCAAGCGATGGAGCAAAATTCCTGCAGATACCCCATTCTTAAGTACAAATATGTACCTTAGGCCTGTTCAAAGCATACTTTCACTTATTTTTTGGTCCCATAAATAAACAGTAATTAACATGAACTTTCCAATCACAGAATTTAAACCAGGACATGAGAATAACAAGAACTGTGCAGAAAAATTGCACACACCCTAGAAGAAGACCAGGAAAAGGAATTTGCAATAGGGTTCAATAAAATTTTTTCCCAGAGGTAGGGCCTTTGCCTTGCACGCGGCCGGCCAGGCCAGCCCAAGTTTGATTCCTCCACCCATCTCAGAGAACCCAGCAAGCAACTGAGAGTAGCTTGGCACGGCAGAGCCTGGCAAGCTACCCATGCCGTATTCAATAGGCCAAACAGAGTAACAACAAGTCTCACAGTGATGAGATGTTACTGGGCCTGCTCGAGCAAATCGATGAACAATGGGAGTACAGTGCTGGACAGTGCTCTCTGAGAAGGAAGATACTCACCCCAACCCTGTAAGAAATATTCTAATAAATTCCGTATAAAGATATGCATTGAGTTAGGGAGACAGCACAGATGTTAAGGCATTTCTCTTACATGTTGTCAATCCAGGTTCTATCCCCAGCATCATATATGGTCCTCTGGGCAATGCTGGGAATGTCCCTCTTCCCCCAAAAAGACTTTGTACATAGACGATTAGAGAGTTCCCATCTTTTGCTGAGCTTTATTCCAGAGTTAAGTGAAACTGTAGATCAGCAGACATGCAACTGAGTATCTACTCTAAATTCTGTATATTTTCATGCACAGGGAACCATCATGTTTATTATTAGCCCATGCAAGTATGTTTATGGGTCTCTAAATAGACACCTATTTCTGCTTCTGGTCTTTGCCCTTCCTGAGGTTTTTACATATGTACAGATTTGATGCTGATCTCCTAACCTCCATTAAGATCTCTCACTTTAATTATGTATTAAAAGACGAAACATTGCTAAAAATTCTCCTCTGTAGCATTGAAAAAAATTGCTCCACAGTTGTTCTGTATTCAGAAATGATCAACACATCTTTGTTCACTGGTGTTCCCTTTAAAATGTCTTATTCCAAAATAGAGCCCTTTGCTATGCTGAAAAACTAGAACTGGGAAAGTGTGTACATAAACTTTAGGTCAGGAATCTATTTAAACAAACACGTAGAAGTTCAAGAAGGGGTGACTGAATTGTGCCAGGTAGAAACTATACTTGGGGGAGGTGAGGCTTTCATACAAGAAACACAGGAGAAACTCCTCCTGCTTCTCATATCGATGTTGGTATCTGCACAGAAAAGAGATAAAACTGTTCTCAAGGAGCATCTGTTATGGGGTTGTTGAAATAAGCAAGGATGTTGTGATTTCATGGCCAGATGTGTCATTGACTTGAAAAAAATTGATTAAAAAGTCATCTCTTGGGACCAGGGAGATAGCCCAAAGGGCAATAGTGCATGTGTGAGGCCTAGATTCTATCCCCAGCCCCCCAATTCCCCATGAACACCCACCAGGAGTAACCCCTAAGTACTGCTGGGTGCAGAATTAGCATATGTTAGTTTTCTCTACCAATATTGCAATCAAATTCAATGAGATTAGCAATTTGTGTTAAAAAAAATTAATGCCACTGTGGTGGTGGAAAATGGACACTGGTGGAGGGATGGGTGTTTGATCATTGTATAATTGAAACCCAAGCACAAAAATTTGTAAGTCTACAACTGTACCTCATGGTGTTTCACTAATAAAAATTAAAAAAAAATAATGCTATAAGAATTTTTAGTGTTTTGGATACTAAAAATACTAAAAATATATTTTAAGCATGCAAGTTGCAGGTCTAGTATTAAATGAACCTAGATCTTGAAATCATACGTGAGACTTAAAACACCAAAAGAACGAATTACTGTACACACATGTTGTCATCTATAGAATCCTTCCCTGGAGCATTGGATATACTGAACATTTTTAATGCATTTGGAATGTTTCTCTCTGGTTTTAAAACAAAGAGTCCATTTACTCCCCATCCCTGACAGCCATGTCTGAGACGGAGCATCCGCGTGTAGAATCCTCGCAGGGATGTCAAAGTTGCTTGGGTGAAGGCGGAAGATGGCAGAAAGGAGTTGCTGAGCGGTGGTTATAGCGCTTTCCTGCAGAGCTGTCTTTGGGCCACCATTTCACCATCTCTAGAACTGATTAAGCAACTTTCAGAAATACAGAAAGAGCAGAAAAGTTCTTAATCTTCATCAAAAGCTTTCTTGGAGAGATAGAGAGGAGAGAAAGAGGGAGGGAGAGGGAAAAGAAACGGAAAGAAAGAAAGAAAGACGGAAAGACAGAAGGAAGGAAGGAAGGAAGGAAGGAAGGAAGGAAGGAAGGAAGGAAGGAAGGAAGGAAGGAAAAAGAAAGAAAGAAAGAAAGAAAGAAAGAAAGAAAGAAAGAAAGAAAGAAAGACGGAAAGACAGAAGGAAGGAAGGAAGGAAAAAGAAAGAAAGAAAGAAAGAAAGAAAGAAAGAAAGAAAGAAAGAAAGAAAGAAAGAAAGACGGAAAGAAAGACGGAAAGACAGAAGGAAGGAAGGAAGGAAGGAAGGAAGGAAGGAAGGAAGGAAGGAAAGGAGGAGGGAGGGAGGGAGGGAGGGAGGGAGGGAGGGTGGCTGGTTTACTTATTAATACAAACTCAAGTTGGAGAAAACATCTCCTACAGAAGACGCAGAGCTTTCAACTGCCTCTGTAGTATGTCTTTGGACCCTGGGACTTCTAGGAGCCAGCCCACAGCCTACACTCTCCCCTGTCTCAGACTCCCTGCAGAAGGACCCTTCCCTTCCCTGACAAGAGGGTCAAATTCTGAGGTTGGTTCCCCCAAGCTCCCTTTTGCCACCAGTGGTGCCTCAGCAAATAAAGCAAGCCCCGCCCCAGCAAAGAATCCTTTAGCCTGCAGGAGGAGGACGCTCTAGGGGGGCTGCCCCCAGTGCTGCTGGAGGGGAGGATAGGAGGTCTCTGACTTAAAACGTTTTGGCAGTGGAGAGCACCTCCATGCAGGGAAGGCACAGCTGCAGTCTCGGCCGTCCAAGCAGCCGTCTTCATCAGCCTGCAACTGCTTCTCCTCCTGGGAGTGGCCATTCTTTGACCACTCACTTATAGGAAGAGGGCTTAGCAATGGTCCTCGCTCGCTGCCTGTGGTCAGCAGCAATCAGGCTGGCCACAGCTCAGTCATCTGCCTAGCCTCAGGTTGACCAAATCAGGCCCATGCCTCCACTCCAGGTCAGCCATCGAGAAACTCCAGTGAATGAATGAATGGAGTGAGGTCACAGCTTGAGGCGGGGAGAGCCAGGCCAGTGGAAGTCGTCTGGCCATTGTGTGTGGAAGGAGTGTGTGGTCAGCTACTTATATGGCCATGTGTGTCAGCCACCCTTTCATCCACAGGAGGAAGCGTTCTTTCCTGTTATGCTGCCTCGGGAGCCCCTGTGAGCCCTGGAAATTGCCGGCAGCTCAGTCCGGCCCTTCTCATTTCATCAGGCTGGGGTGGGGGAGGGTGGGAACTGGGAGGAAGGGCTGTGCTTAGTTTGGACCAAACAGGTCCTCATGCTGGGTTCTCTTTGAAGAGGATGGAGGGGTCCTGGCTGTGAAGGCCTCTTCAGTCAGGTGACTCTTAGGAAGTGCTCCTGATTGCTCACCCCTACCCGTCACTCCCTGTCAGAGCTCAGGCTGTGTGTGTGTGTGTGTGTGTGTGTGTGTGTGTGTGTGTTGGGAAGAGGGAGGAGGAGGGAGGTGGGGGGGTCAGCCCTATACCAGAGTGCTGGACCACGCAGGAAACACCAATGTCCAAGAGGACCAAGGGATATTTCAGAATGCCAGTCATTTCTGGAAGAAGCGGGATGCTTCGAGGCGGGCTGGGAACTGCATTGCAAGTGTGGCTCTCTTCAGCTTGCTTTGACTGGGCTTCTCGCTCATGCGGGGTGACTGTGTTTTCAAAAGCATGTAGGAATGAGGGTTCCAGAAAGAGTCCCACAGGACTTTTGATTGGACGGGTGAATGAATGCATACAGGAAAGACTTCAACGTTGTACCAACAGGATCCAGCATATGCGTGTTGGCCCTCGTTGCTTGGAGAATGCAGAGCCTTGAGGATGCAAGTCAGGGCTGTTTCCCCATCTTTCCCTGTGGCCCTTGGGAATGTCGGGATGGAGCTGGCAGAGGGGGGCAGCAGGCTGAGGGCTGACTGAGCTCAGACTGGTCTGCCCTGGGACATAGCCTTATTGCAGAGGCCTTCAAGGCTGGCCAGCCTGTGCTCAAAGGTGTAAG